TAATGCGTGGGGCTTTTTCAATAAGTGTACCTGCTTGACAGCTCGTGTATGAACATCTGGAATAAGATCTAATTTAATTTGACCATGTCTCAGGGTTCAACAGCAGTATATATTTATAATTTCACACATCACGGTGACTATGATTTCTTGCATTTTCATTCTGGCTTCCTGGATCTTGTCCTAGAGATGCTTCACAGTTTCAAGTGGAACGTCGCACTATGTAATTGCTGCGAAATCTGTCTGTGAAAATTGCTCTCTAACTTTACAAGTGAGTGTGTGAGTGAGTGGTTGGGTGGATGGGTAAATGGTTAAGTGAGTGGATGTTAGAGTAAGAGTGTGAGTGAGTGGTTGAATAAGTGAGTGGGTGAGTCGGTGGATGAGAGTGTGGGTAAGTGAGTGGGTGAGTCAGTGGATGAGAGTGTGTGGTTGGGTAAGTGGCTGGGTCGGTGAGAGAGTGTGAGTGAGTGGTTGAATAAGTGAGTGGGTAAGTCAGTGGGTGAGAGTATGGGTGAGTGGGTGAGTCAGTGGATGAGAGTGTGTGGTTGGGTGGGTGAGAGAGTGGTTGAGTGCTTGAGGGAGCGAGTGTTACAGTAAGTGAGTGTTAGTGAGAGAGCCGAAGCAACAATCGGCTTGGCTTCGATAAAACGCTTGTCACACCGCCTGACAATTAAATTATTGTGACTGTGTCGGGTGGTGGAGGGTTCTCGAGGACACAAACCTGTTCAGATTATTATGTAGCAGCCTAACCCGCAAATCAATTCCAAATAATATCGCCTGCATGCACTGAAAATATCTCCGGTCCCCACGTGAAGTGCCCAAGTATGAACTCTGTTTTCACGACACCTATATTTAGACACGTGTTTTTGTGTCTGCTCTCTGTGCACTCAAAGCCTTAAATTTGAGCATTCAAAACATATGCTCCTCTGTGTCTCTCTCTGCCGCTCCGTGTCTCTCTCTGCCGCTCCGTGTCTCTCTCTCTCTGCCGCTCCGTGTCTCTCCTCCACTCTCCTGGAATCACGTGGAAATGCCAGGATTTTCTGGAAAACAATCAAATGTATCGAAAAGGCATCCAAAACAGATAATCTGCCCATTGAGCTTAACCGAAATGGGGAATATTTTTCAGATCCCCAAAAATAGTTGACAATTTTTACCTTAATTTTTCTTAAGCTGGTAATCTTTTTTTTATAATGTATTGGGAGTCACCCCTGCTCATGCAAATTCCTACACCCCTGTCCAAACATTAAACGAATTTAGTTTCCAGCCAATTCACGAAAGTAATGTTCTGAAACAACTGTCCTACCTCAAAGGGTCCTCCTCTACCGGAGCAGATAGTATTCCCGTCTTTGCTCTACTACAGTGAGGGAAAAACGTATTTGATCCCCTGCTGATTTTGTACGTTTGCCCACTGAAAAATAAATGATCAGTCTAGAATGTTAATGGTAGGTTTATATGAACAGTGAGAGACAGAATAACAACAAAAAAATCCGGAAAAACGCATGTAAAAAATGTTATAAATTGATTTGCATTTTAATGAGGGAAATAAGTATTTGACCCCCTCTCAATCAGAAAGATTTCTGGCTCCCAGGTATCTTTTATACAGGTAACAAGCTGAGATTTGGAGCACACTCTTAAAGGGAGTGCTCCTAATCTCAGCTTGTTACCTGTATAAAAGGCAGAGAAGCAACCAATCAATCAGATCCCAAACTCTCCACCATGGCCAAGACCAAAGAGCTCTCCAAGGATGTCAGGGACAAGATTGTAGACCTACACAAGGCTGGAATGGGCTACAAGATCATTGCCAAGCAGCTTGGTGAGAAGGTGACAACAGTTGGTGCGATTAGTCACAAATGGAAGAAACACAAAAGAACTGTCAATCTCCCTCGGCCTGGGGCTCCATGCAAGATCTCACCTCGTGGAGTTGTAATGATCATGAGAACGGTGAGGAATCAGTCCAGAACTACACGGGTGGATCTTGTCAATGATCTCAAGGCAGGTGGGACCATAGTCACCAAGAAAACAATTGGTAACACTACGCCGTGAAGGACTGAAATCCTGCAGCGCCCGCAAGGTGCCCCTGCTCAAGAAAGCACATATACATGCCCGTCTGAAGTTTGCCAATGAACATCCGAATGATTCAGAGGACAACTGGGTTAAAGTGTTGTGGTCAGATGAGACCAAAATGGAGCTCTTTGGCATCAACTCAACTCGCCGTGTTTGGAGGAGGAGGAATGCTGCCTATGACCCCAAGAACACCATCCCCACCGTCAAACATGGAGGTGGAAACATTATGCTTTGGGGATGTCTTCTGCTAAGGGGACAGGACAACTTCACCGCATCAAAGGGACGATGGACGGGGCCATGTACCGTCAAATCTTGGGTGAGAACCTCCTTCCCTCAGCCAGGGCATTGAAAATGGCTCGTGGATAGGTATTCCAGCATGACAATGACCCAAAACACACGGCCAAGGCAACAAAGGAGTGGCTCAAGAAGAAGCACATTAAGGTCCCGGAGTGGCCTAGCCAGTCTCCAGACCTTAATCCCATAGAAAATCTGTGGAGGGAGCTGAAGGTTCGAGTTGCCAAACGTCAGCCTCGAAACCTTAATGACTTGGAGAAGACCTGCAAAGAGGATTGGGACAAAATCCCTCCTGAGATGTGTGCAAACCTGGTGGCCAACTACAAGAAACGTCTGACCTCTGTGATTGCCAACAAGGGTTTTGCCACCAAGTACCAAGTCACGTTTTGCAGAGGGGTCAAATACTTATTTCCCTCATTAAAATGCAAATCAATTTATAACATTTTGACATGCATTTTTCTGGATTTTTTTTGTTGTTATTCTGTCTCTCACTGTTCAAATAAACCTACCATTACAATTATAGACTAATCATTTCTTTGTCAGTGGGCAAACGTACAAAATCAGCAGGGGATCAAATACTTTTTTCCCTCATTGTAACTGTTGGTCACCTAATATTCAAACCTATAGCCCATATTTTCAACCTGTCCATCAAAGAAGCGTCAGTTCCTCTAGAATGGAAACATTCCTATGTCCGTCCACTTCACAAAGGGGGCCCTAAAAATGATCCAAATAACTACCGACCTATCTCAATTTTGTCCCCGTTAATGAAAATTTTTGAAAAATTATTGACCTACCAAATTAGCAGTTTCCTGTCCACCAACAATCTACTACATCTAAAACAACCTGGGTTCCGAAAAAATCACAGTACCTCATCTGCTGCATTAGACTCTCTGAATCACATTTACAGTAGCCTTGATAATAAGCAGTACTGTGCCTGTCTTTTTCTAGACCTGTCCAAAGCTTTTGATGCAGTAGACCACAACACCCTGCTTAGTAAACTAAGTTGCCTCCGTTTTTCCGAAATCGCAGTAAAATGGTTACAAAATTACCTCTTTTCTCGCACCCAAACTGTATTCACAGATGGTTGGAGGTCAAACAGTGTTAAGATAACAAAAGGGGTTCCACAGGGTTCCATCCTCGGCCCCCTTTTGTTCTCTCTTTATGTCAATGACTTGGGCACTGACCTGGATCATTCCAGGGTAAATCTTTTTGCAGATGACACGATACTGATTACTGCTGACCGCTCTCCGGATGACGTAATTTCTAAGCTACAGGGTGATTTCAACAAACTACAACATCAGCTAGTTGCTCTTAAACTAGTTCTGAATACCTCCATAACCAAAGTGCTATGCTTCTCACCAGGACTAAAGCAGGAAGTTATTTTCCCCAATTACATTCCTTAAATAATTATCAAATAGAGCAAGTCAAGATCTATAGGTGTCTTGGGGTCATGCTGGATTCAAAACTGAATTTTGAAGATCACATTGATTATATTAGTAAAAAGGCAAAAATAAAAATAGGTTTTCAGTATCGACACAAGCACTGCTTCCCCCCAATGTTCCGTTTGAAATTGATAAAAGCTACCATACTGCCTCTACTTGACTACTGTGACATCGTGTATAAATCAGCCCCAAGTACTGTACTGAAGAAGCTTGATTCCATCTATCACTCGGCCTTAATATTTACATTGAACTGCCCATATAGGACTCACCACTGTGATCTCTACATTGGGTCAAACTTAACATCTCTTAATGTTCGACGGCTTGTGCACCAGATCTTATTTATTCACGATGTACTTACAAAAAAATCCGCAGACTACCTGCTGGATCTCCTCTGTTTCAAAGAACAAATTTGACCTCAGGTCTTCGCTCATTTACCAGCTTCACATTCCCTATTGCCGTACAAAAACTGGAGGAAGGGCCTTTGCATTTGATGCCTCCAGGGTCTGGAATGCTATTGCCAATAAACTGCAACTTGAATCGCTACCAATGAGATCCTTTCTCAAAACTGCTCTAGAGGAGTTGTACACCCCTAGCTGCCACTGCTATTCATTGGCGTAAAATAAAATAAAATGTTTCGCTCTGGATGACGCTGCAAAGTATTATCTGTATTTTGATTTAGCGTGCTGATCTTAAAGGTACATTGAAAAATTTGATACTCCGACTGATGCTTCTGTTGTTGTGGAGTAACTCATACAGCCAGCTATGGCTCTAGGATTTGGTGTTACATGTTATTTATGTAGTTTATTGTAAAAATTCGGTCACAGTCCCTGTGATCACTGTTGCGTTGCAATTATGGCTTTATTTTTGTTGATTTCGAAAAGTTTTTTGGTTTGGACATGTTTGTTTTGTTGTAGTAAGGAGTTAGACTGATGGCTTTAATCTAAGTTTTCTTGTGGTTGTTGTTGTTGTTTGACTTGCATCCCACTGGGATTTTTTGCACATAGCGTTGGTGTACGGTGTTTTTTTCAGAAATATTTTGCTGTTTTTTTTCATGGATTTTCTGTTTGCACAGTCACATAGTCGCTTTAAGATGTTTTCTTGTTCATGTTTTTGTTTTTTTGTTTGTTGTGGTTGCACCAGATTCAAGAGCCGAATGGCTCACAGGGCTATACCAAAATAAATATACTGAAACTGAAAACTCTGCCACTCCGTGTCTCTCTCTAGGTGGCGATGGCCACAGAGGAGGACGGGGAGATGACGCACGCAGAGGAAAGGGTGGAGAGCACGGCGAGTCGAGCCAGAGTAGGTGAGCCTGCAGACAACAGGGATGAGCGCCCTGGAGGAAGGGTAGAGCATGCCAGAGGAAGAGAGGATCACCCTGGGGAAAAGGAGGAATGCCCTGGAGGAAGGGAGGAGCACCCTGGAGTAAGGGAGGAACGCCCTGGAGGAAGGGAGGAGCATCCTGGAGCAAGGGTGGAACGCCCTGGAGGAAGGGAGGAGCATCCTGGAGCAAGGGAGGAACGCCCTGGAGGAAGAGAGGAGCGCCCTGCAGGAAGAGAGGAGCGCCCTGCAGGAAGGGAGGAGCGCGCCAGAGCAAGGGAGGAGAGCCCTGGAGGAAGGGAGGAGCGCCCTGGAGGAAGAGAGGAGCGCCCTGCAGAAAGGGAGGAGCGCGCCAGAGCAAGGGAGGAGAGCCCTGGAGGAAGAGAGGAGCGCCCTGGAGGAAGAGAGGAGTGCCGTACAGGAAGGGAGGAGCGCGCCAGAGCAAGGGAGGAGAGCCCTGGAGGAAGGGAGGAGCGCTCTGGAGGAAGAGAGGAGCGCCCTGGAGGAAGAGAGGAGCGCGCCAGAGGAAGGGAGAAACTCCTTGGAGGAAGGGAGGAGCGTGCGGACAGCAGCCAGGCATTGAAAGATGACAAATCGGACGTGCTCTCTGTGCAATCTCGCTACCTCCGCAGTGGCTCCTTCAGCCGGTGAGACACCGAGACACAGCTCACAGACACAATAAGATGAGACAGAGACAATTATACCCTCAGAAACAGACACTGAGACGCAGGGACACAGCACACAGAGACAGTGATACACTAAGACACAGACCCTGAGACAAACACAGTGACTGAATCATCTTCTTTCATATGACTGGTGTAGATGCAGAGCAGTCACTATAATTTCACATTCAGGTGGTCAAGCCAGTCAGGAGTAGCGGAGTGTGATGTCTCCTTTTTATTTGTGGATCTATTCTGGATGCCCACAGTCGCACACTCGAGAGTTTTTAATGTTACATTGATCCTCATGGCGGTACCCCGGGGTACCAAATAATACAAAATGGCCGAGGCAATTAAATATGTTGTTTCTGAGACACAATTCTTTTTTCAGGGGTGCACTTCACTCCGTGACTGGAGTACCAATCAATCCGACATCAGTGCCACTCCGCGATGTCGAAAAGCCAACCATTATAAAAAAATCCGTTATCAAAAAATTCAACTTCGAATAATGCATCGTGTACAGCTTGTCGAGATGAGTCGATTGCCGCATCGCCGACCATCAACAGACTAAAAATGACTGCGTCACGGACATTATGCGAGAGGCGAAGTACTATGGTACCCCGGGGTACTGCCATAAGGTTTATTTATGCATCATCAGGTATCCACATTTGATATGGTTTGTGCAGTGGATGCGGTTTTGGGTGGAGCATGAGCTTCGTGGAAGATCAAACCTAGGGATCTTCATTATTGGGTCTTTCACAACAAGGCGGTGTTTGTTTGTGAATTCTTTTGAACCCCATTCAGCTCTCCAAGCTTCATTGGAGTTGAACTCGCATCGTTGAAGGTTAAGCGCATGGGTCCAAAAAGGCTTACGTGAAGTGATGATGAGGAACGTAATTGAGGTCCTCATGAAAGGGAAGGTGGCTGGCATGGAGGGCATCCAAGACGTGGGTTTCTTGGAGCGTCAGGACATCAATGTTAAGGGTGTTCATTAAGTTTGCGAGATACTTGCACTTCGCCCGGGAGAGTCCCTCAATGTTCAGTTGGAGGATCCTGAACAGGGCCTTTGGTGTGGCTTGTGTTGTTGCTCCCGATGATCGATGTTCAGTCGCCGCGTTGATGGCATTCGTCTTGATTTCTCACTCAACAGAGTGGGCCGCGTGAAGGGTTGCCATCTTCCACTCTAGTCACTGAATGAGACACAGGGAATGAGACGGGGAATGAGACACAGGGAACTAGAGACAGGGACACTGCATCAGACGCAGAGGCACAGCACGCGTACTCACACGTGACTGGCACGCGGTCTGTGCGCTCCCTCCTCGCAGGTTCTCCGTGTCCTATGACACGGATACAGAGAGCATCCACATGGAGCCCATACACCTCTCCTCGAGCCTGGCCGCAGCGCAGATCATCAAGGAGGGTAACGAGCGCGGACACCCACTCATCTACCCTGTAGCTCCGTGGGTGTGTTGATTACTCATCTACCCTGTAGCTCCGTGTGTGTGTGGATCAATCATCTACCCTGTAGCTCCATGTGTGTGTGTGTTGATTACTCATCTACGCTGTAGCTCCATGTGTGTGTGTGGATCACTCATCTACCCTGTAGCTCCATGTGTGTGTGTGTTGATTACTCATCTACCCTGTAGCTCCGTGTGTGTGTGGATCATTCATCTACCCTGTAGCTCCGTGTGTGTGTTGATCACTCATCTACCCTGTAGCTCCATGTGTGTGTGTGGATCACTCATGTACCCTGTAGCTCCTTGTGTGTGTGAGGATCACTCATCTACCCTGTAGCTCCGTGTGTGTGTGGATCACTCATCTACCCTGTAGCTCCGTGTGTGTGTTGATCACTCATCTACCCTGTAGCTCCGTGTGTGTGTGTGTGTGGATCACTCATCACCCTGTAGCTCCGTGTGTGTGTGTGTGGATCACTCATCTACCCTGTAGCTCCGTGTGTATGTTGATCACTCATCTACCCTGTAGCTCCGTGTGTGTGTGTGGATCACTGATCACCCTGTAGCTCCGTGTGTGTCTTGATCACTCATCTACCCTGTAGTTCCATGTGTGTGTGTGGATCACTCATCTACCCTGCAGCTCCGTGTGTGTGTGTGGATCACTCATCTACCCTCTAGCTCCATGTGTGTGTTGATCACTCATCTATCCTGTAGCTCCGTGTGTGGGGATCACGCATCTACCCTGTAGCTCCGTGTGTGTGTGTATCACTCATCTACCCTGTAGCTCCGTGTGAGTGTGGATCACCCATCTACCCTGTAGCTCCGTGTGTGTGGGGATCACTCATCTACCCTGTAGCTCCAAGTGTGTGTAGATCACTCATCTATCCTGTAGCTCCGTGTGTGTGTGGATCAATCATCTACCCTGTAGCTCCGTGTGTGTGTGTGGATCACTCATCTACCCTGTAGCTCCGTGTGTGTGTGTGTGGATCACTCATCACCCTGTAGCTCCGTGTGTGTGTGTGGATCCCTCATCTACCCTGTAGCTCCGTGTGTGTGTGTGGATCACTCATCACCCTGTAGCTCCATGTGTGTGTGTGGATCACTCATCTACCCTGTAACTCCGTGTGTGTGTGGGTCACTCATCTACCCTGGAGCTCCGTGTGTGTGTGTGTGGATCACTCATCTACCCTGTAGCTCCGTGTGTGTGTTGATCACTCATCTACCCTGTAGCTCGGTGTGTGTGTAGGGATAACTCATCTACCCTGTAGCTCCATGTGTGTGTGTGTGTGTATCACTCATCTACCCTGTAGCACCGTGTGTGTGGGGATCACTCATCTACCCTGTAGCTCCATGTGTGTGTGTGTGTGGATCACTCATCACCCTGTAACTCCGTGTGTGTGTGTGGATCACTCATCTACCCTCTAGCTCCGTGTGTATGTTGATCACTCATCTACCCTGTAGCTCCGTGTGTGTGTGTGGATCACTCATCTACCCTGTAGCTCCGTGTGTGTGTTGATCACTCATCTACCCTGTAGCTCCATGTGTGTGTGTAGATCACTCATTTACCCTGTAGCTCCGTGTGTGTGTTGATCACTCATCTACCCTGTAGCTCCGTGTGTGGGGATCACGCATCTACCCTGTAGCTCCGTGTGTGCATATCACTCATCTACCCTGTAGCTCCGTGTGTGTGTGTGGATCACTATTCTAACCTGTAGCTCCATGTGTGTGTGTGGATCACTCATCTACCCTGTAGCTCCGTGTGTGTGTGTGGATCACTCATCTACCCTGTAGCTCCGTGTGTGTGTGTGGATCACTCATCTACCCTGTAACTCCGTGTGTGTGCGTGGATCACTCATCTACCCTGTAGCTCCGTGTGTGTGTGTGGATCACTCATCTACCCTGTAGCTCCGTGTGTGTGTTGATCACTCATCTACCCTGTAGCTCCGTGTGTGTGTGTGTGGATCACCCATCACCCTGTAGCTCCGTGTGTGTGTGTGTGGATCACCCATCTACCCTGTAGCTCCGTGTGTGTGGGGATCACTCATCTACCCTGTAGCTCCGTGTGTGTGTGGATCACTATTCTAACCTGTAGCTCCATGTGTGTGTGTGGATCACTCATCTACCCTGTAGCTCCGTGTGTGTGTGTGGATCACTCATCTACCCTGTAGCTCCGTGTGTGTGTGGATCACTCATCTACCCTGTAACTCCGTGTGTGTGCGTGGATCACTCATCTACCCTGTAGCTCCGTGTGTGTGTGTGGATCACTCATCTACCCTGTAGCTCCGTGTGTGTGTTGATCACTCATCTACCCTGTAGCTCTGTGTGTGTGTGTGTGGATCACTCATCACCCTGTAGCTCCGTGTGTGTGTGTGTGGATCACTCATCTACCCTGTAGCTCCGTGTGTATGTTGATCACTCATCTACCCTGTAGCTCCGTGTGTGTGTGTGGATCACTGATCACCCTGTAGCTCCGTGTATGTCTTGATCACTCATCTACCCTGTAGCTCCATGTGTGTGTGTGGATCACTCATCTACCCTGCAGCTCCGTGTGTGTGTGTGGATCACTCATCTACCCTGTAGCTCCCTGTGTGTGTTGATCACTCATCTATCCTGTAGCTCCGTGTGTGGGGATCACGCATCTACCCTGTAGCTCCGTGTGTGTGTATCACTCATCTACCCTGTAGCTCCGTGTGAGTGTGGATCACCCATCTACCCTGTAGCTCCGTGTGTGTGGGGATCACTCATCTACCCTGTAGCTCCAAGTGTGTGTAGATCACTCATCTATCCTGTAGCTCCGTGTGTGTGTGGATCAATCATCTACCCTGTAGCTCCGTGTGTGTGTGTGGATCACTCATCTACCCTGTAGCTCCGTGTGTGTGTGTGTGTGTGGATCACTCATCACCATGTAGCTCCGTGTGTGTGTGTGGATCACTCATCTACCCTGTAGCTCCGTGTGTGTGTGTGGATCACTCATCACCCTGTAGCTCCATGTGTGTGTGTGGATCACTCATCTACCCTGGAGCTCCGTGTGTGTGTGTGTGTGGATCACTCATCTACCCTGTAGCTCCGTGTGTGTGTTGATCACTCATCTACCCTGTAGCTCGGTGTGTGTGTAGGGATAACTCATCTACCCTGTAGCGCCATGTGTGTGTGTGTGTGTATCACTCGTCTACCCTGTAGCACCGTGTGTGTGGGGATCACTCATCTACCCTGTAGCTCCGTGTGTGTGTGGATCACTCATCTACCCTGTAGCTCCGTGTGTGTGTGTGGATCACTCATCACCCTGTAACTCCGTGTGTGTGTGTGTGGATCACTCATCTACCCTCTAGCTCCGTGTGCATGTTGATCACTCATCTACCCTGTAGCTCCGTGTGTGTGTGTGGATCACTCATCTACCCTGTAGCTCCGTGTGTGTGTTGATCACTCATCTACCCTGTAGCTCCATGTGTGTGTGTGGATCACTCATCTACCCTGTAGCTCCGTGTGTGTGTGTGGATCACTATTCTACCCTGTAGCTCCGTGTGTGTGTGGATCACTCATCTACCCTGTAGCTCCGTGTGTGGGGATCACGCATCTACCCTGTAGCTCCGTGTGTGTGTGGAACACCCATCTACCCTGTAGCTCCGTGTGTGTGTGTATCACTCATCTACCCTGTAGCTCCGTATGTGTGTGGATCACTTATCTACCCTTTAGCTCCGTGTGTGTGTGGACCGCCCATCTACCCTGTAGCTCCGTGTGTGTGTGTGGATCACTCATCTACCCTGTAGCTCCGTGTGTGTGTGTATCACTCATCTACCCTGTAGCTCCGTGTGTGTGTGTATCACTCATCTACCCTGTAGCTCCATGTGTGTGTGTGGATCACTCATCTACCCTGTAGCTCCCTGTGTGTGTTGATCACTCATCTATCCTGTAGCTCCATGTGTGTGTGTGGATCACTCATCTACCCTGTAGCTCCGTGTGTGTGTGTGGATCACTCATCTACCCTGTAGCTCCGTGTGTGGCGATCACGCATCTACCCTGTAGCTCCGTGTGTGTGTGGATCACTCATCTACCTTGTAGCTCCGTGTGTGTGTGTATCACTTATCTACCCTGTAGCTCCGTGTGTGGGGATCACGCATCTACCCTGTAGCTCCATGTGTGTGTGTGGATCACTCATCTACCCTGTAGCTCCGTGTGTGTGTGGATCACCCATCTACCCTGTAACTCCGTGTGTGTGTGTATCACTCATCTACCCTGTAGCTCTGTGTGTGTGTAGATCACTCATCTACCCTGTAGCTCGGTGTGTGTGTGGATCACTCATCTACCCTGTAGCTCCGTGTGTATCACTCATCTACCCTGTAGCTCCGTGTGGGTGTAAATCACTTATCTACCCTGTAGCTCCGTGTGTATCACCCATCTACCCTGTATCTCCGTGTGTGTGTAGATCACTCATCTACCCTGTAGCTCTGTGTGTGTGTAGATCACTCATCTATCCTGTAGCTCCGTGTGTGTGTGGATCACTCATCTACCCTGTAGCTCCATGTGTATCACACATCTACCCTGTAGCTCCGTGTGGGTGTAAATCACTTATCTACACTGTTGCTCCGTGTGTATCACCCATCTACCCTACATCTCCGTGTGTGTGTGTGGATCACTCATCTACCCTGTAGCTCCGTGTGTATCACCCATCTATCCTGTATCTCCGTGTGTGTGTAGATCACTCATCTACCTTGTAGCTCCATGTGTGTGTGGGTGGATCACTCATCTACCCTTTAGCTCCGGGTGTGTGTGTGTGGATCACTCATCTACCCTGTAGCTTCGTGTGTGTGTGGATCACTCATCTACCCTGTAGCTCCGTGTGTGTGTGGATCACTCATCTACCCTGTAGCTCCGTGTGTGTGTGGACCACTCATCTACCCTGTAGCTCCTTGTGTGTGTGAATCACTCATCTAACCTGTAGTTCCGTGTGGGTGTGTGGATCACTCAT